AATTCCCAGCATCTGTAACTGCTTCTGACTTTGCTGCCAAGTATTCTACATTTTTCACACTGAATAATGCCCCTTACATGCCCCTTGAGTTTGATAGATAGATAGATAGATAGATAGATAGATAGAGAGAGAGAGAGAGAGAGAGAGAGAGAGAGAGAGAGACAGAGAGACACACAGACAGAGAGAGATAGAGAGATAGATAGATAGATAGATAGATAGATAGATAGATAGATAGATAGATAGATAGATAGATAGATAGATCTCTTAGTTTGGATCTTATCCTGAGGAGACTTGGGTTGAAGCCTCCACTCAACCAGGAAGTTCCCTGCCTGGAGCCTCTGTGGCGATCTCCCTCATTCCCCACCAGCTCGCCTGCAACCCCGGGCGGTTGGTCTGTCAGGCGAAAGCTGGAAAGGAGGCGTCTGACTTGGTGGGAAACGGAGGGAGAAAGTGCGGGGCCTCCACGAGCGTCGCCTCCAGGGGAGGAAAGGCTCCTCTGGGAGGGAAAGACCGCGACGGCCGGGCCAAGGCCAAGGGCGAGCTGTCAGAAGCCAGCCACCACCTCAGGGCGTCTCCGTCCGCCCGCCCGCAGGGGCTCAATCCCTGCCCCTTTTTCTGGCGCCTTCGAGGGCTCTGCTGGGCGGGGACGGTGGGTCACGGGTGCTCAGTGACAGCAAGCCTAAGCCTCCCAGGGCCACACGGAGCGACCGTCGGCATTTCAGCCTTCCCCTCCGCCCCCCCCCCCCGGAGAAGGGGCGCAGCCGCCCGAGGCAGCGCCACCAAAAGGGAAGCCGTCGAGGGTGGGTGGGAAAGGGCGAGGGAGACCGCAAGCCCCCTGTACCTGGCGAGGCCCCGAGCGGAAGCTCCAACCGAAGAAGCAGGAGCAGAGCCCAGAACAGTCCCCACATGGCCGTCGCGTCGTCCCGGCGTCCCGGCCGCTCGAAGTAGCGAAAGTGAAAATCCGCGCGATGGCGGCTGCTGCTGCCGCCTCTTCCTCCAAAGGCGCGGTTTCGCTGGTCCTGTGAACTCTTTTCTTTCTCTCTCTCAAACCTTCCCCACGACTCTCCTCGTTCGGGGCTGTCCGGAGACGACGGAGGAGCCCTCGCTGTTCATAAAGCAAAGAGCCGCTCAAGTTCGAGCAGGTGCCGAGACGGTCGAAGGGAGCGGCTTTTTGGAGAGAGAGGCTGGGTCCTGAGGCAGCTCCCGGGAGGACGCCTCAGGCCGCCTCTTGCACGCTTAAACCACCTCTGGGTGCGGGTGGGTGGCGGGGAGGATATTTATGATCTGATTTCCTCATCGAAGGGGAGGTTTAGGGCCTTTCCTCCTAATAAGGGCATCGGGCGGATAACTGGCGCACAGTACTGTACTCAGTAGTTCCGGAGGCTTTGTATCAAGAACGATCATAACTTGGGTCCTTTTGAAGGAGAGAGGCGGGATTAAAAAATATGTTCAATAAAGAAAGTAATTTTGCCCTTGGATGTGGTGTCACCGTGTGTGACTCCTTCCTGACCCTCCCAGACACACAACTTGCTGTGTACTTTTCTTTTGCTGTACTTTGTGCCCTCTCTGCCTACAATTCCCCTGTGCATTTTTAAAGCGTGCTATAGTAGAGTGAGGTACAAATCCAGCAGAATATAACTAAAATCAGTTATAGACAGTAGCTTGCCATGTTATAGACTAGATGCCCTAACAAAGGGCTAAACTTCTGGAAGTACAGGGCACAGGGGGAGTGCTAAGGCACGAGTAGAACAAAGTAGGTGGTTAAGATGCTACTTCTGGAGGGAGGATTACAGGTAATTTTCTTACACCTAGGACCACAGCTAGAGTTGTTATACTGTATGTGCCATCAAGTTGCTTCTGACTTACGGTCATGCTATGAATTAGGTAAAGGTAAAGGTTCCCCTTGACATTTAGTCCAGTTGTGTCCGACTGTAGGGTGCGGTGCTCATCCCCATCTCTAAGCCATAGAGCCAGTGTTTTGTCCGTAGACAGTTTCTGTGGTCACGTGGCCAGCACGACTAGACATGGAATGCCATTCCCTTCTCACTGTGGTGGTACCTATTTATGTACTCACATTTTTATATGCTTTCGAACTGCTAGGTTGGCAGGAGCTGGGACAAGCGATGGGAGCTCATTCCGTCGTGTGGATTCGATCTTACGACTGCTGGTCTTCTGACCTGGCAGCACAGAGGCTTCTGCGGTTTAAGCCACAGCGCTACCACGTCCCACTATGCTATGAATTACCAGTCTCCAAAATGTCCTGTCCTCAATAGCCCTGCTCAGCTCTTGCAAAGTCAAGCCTGTGGCTTCCTTTAGGGCAGTGGTCCCCAACAATGGGCCTCCGGAGGCTCTTGGACTTCAATTCCCAGAAATCCTGGCCAGGAGGGGTGGTGGTGAAGGCTTCTGGGAGTTGTAGTCCAAGGGCATCTGGAGGCCCAAGGTTGGGAACCACTGTTTTAGGGCAATGGTTTCCAACCTTGGGTCCCCAGATGTTATTGGACTAAAACTCCCAGAAGCCTTCACCACTAGCTGGGCTGGCCAGGATTTCTGGGAGTTGTAGTCCAAGAACATCTGGGGACCCAAGGTTGGGAAGCACTGCTTTAGGGAGTCAAGCCATCTCTTGTTTGGTCTTCCTCTTTTCCCCTTGCCTTAAACCTTTCACAGAATTATGGCCTTTTCCAGAGAACCTTGCCTTGTTCCTCTTTTCCCCTTGCCTCACAGAATTATGGTCTTTTCCAGAGAACCTTGCCTTTTCATGATGGGCCCAGAGTAACACAGATTAAGTTGCACAATTTTTTTTGCCTCCAAAGTTAGTTCAGGCTTGATTTGCTTTAAGACCCACTTGTTTGTCTTTCTGGTACTTACAATATCTGGAAGACTCTCCTCCAGCACCACATTTCAAATGAATCATTGTTTTCCCCTGTCAACTTTCTTTACTGTCCAGCTCTCACACCTGTACACAGTGAGTGGGAATATAATAGGGTGGGTGATGTTGGTCTTGGTCTCCAGGAACACATCATTTCACTTGATGCTGTTTTCTAATTTCTATATTGCTGCCCTTCCGAGTCTCAATCTTCTGATCAGTCTTCATTTGTATTGATGACTGAACCAAGATATACAAAAGCTTTAAGAATTTCAATTGCTTCATTGCTAACATGAAAGTTGTTTAGTTCTTCAATAGTCATGATTTTTTGTCTATTTAATGTTCAACTGCAGTCCTGCTTTGGCACTTTCTTCTTTCACTTTCTGCTGGAGTACATCCCCGTTATTACATATTACACGGCCCTATTCAATCCTTGGCAAATACTTACACACTTCTGCTGGAGTACAGCCCCATTATTACATATTACACGGGCCTATTCAATCCTTGGCAAATACTTACACAGCCATAAAAAAATCAGCATCTTGACTCTCATGGAGAGCCTGTAGAGCTTCTGTGGATAGCACAAACTCCTGTTTTCAGGCTGCCTTCATTTTCTTCAGATTTTCTTTACCTATATGGAGAGTGACAAGACTGGAAATGTGGTGGGAATACCTGTGGTAAATACACATAATCCACATGCAGTTTTGCATGTTTGTCCCCCACCCACCCCACACATGGAAGGGGGCTACACATTCACACCCAGTGGCAAAGATCAAACTGGCTGTGTTTTCGGAATAACACTTCTAGGTTCTTCAGATGTTGTTGGCCTGTTCAGTCCCATCAACAACAACCAGCATAGGCTGTGGTGAGCAATCATCAGAATTGCAATCCAGAAATATCTGGAGTGCCTTAGTTGCTCAAACCTTACCTGTGTGAAGGATTTATCTGCAATAGCTTATGCACATAGGTCTCTTTTGCATGAGAAGGGATCTCAAGGCAGTCAGGATTTCCTAGGATGTGCGGGAGCCTATGCTGGTGTGTTAGTTATTACACACATGGGGCCTCTTCACACAGCCAGGGAATGGGTAGCTGGCAGGGAATATGCCAGAATTTTTTAGTTTTTAATTTTTTGTTGGCAGAGGAAGTCATTGTTGGTATGGAGTTTGCACAACCCCTCCATCCTCCATAATCTCCTAACAAAGAATGTTACAATTGTTACAGCTGCTTGAATTGTGTACACAGTATAAGAAATTCAAAATGCTAGGTAGATTTCCCAGTCTGGTGTCAATTGCAACACATAACATTAATTTCTAGCTTTGCTCACATAAAGACTGTGTTGCTTCTCAGTATTTTTCTGCGCTGGAGGACTTCAGAATCCCATATGTCTCACATAAGGTATATCTCTGATTTACAGCTGGGGCTGTATTTCCAGATACTGTACAGAGGTTTCTTTTCCATCCTACTAGGCCCTGCCTGGTGTAATCTGACAACCTGCATATGGATAGTTTGTTTTCTCACTTCTAAATTGAGAGGGTTGGCAGGAAACCTAGCCTCCCAACACAGTTTCCTGTGTTCCATGGAACAAATGCTCAGGCCTTCCCATTGAAGAATGCTTGGAACAAGGCACAGCAGTGGGAGAAAGGGAGGGCCACTCTAAAAACTACAGTTATAGGGAGGCAACCTGTACTTCTTTGTTATGGACTCTGTGCCTGGAGCATATGGGTTTGAAATTGAAATTGGGATTGAAGATTAAGAACATCAGCAAAGATCAACACAGGCAAGATTGATGCAAAATAAAGCTTCAAAGGGAAGGACATTCCCTAGCTGGGATCTACAGCTAAGAGAAAGTCTTCTCTATGTTTCTGTAGAGTGTATTGCTCTCAGTGGTGAGATTTAAATGCCTGGGCCATTACAGAAAAAAGTTAGCATGAGCAGTCATCTCTAATCAGCATGGTCAGAGATTTGTGTTTTAGCATCAAAAGAACAATCATTTTTGAAAACCAAACAAGAACACTGAAAGTAAAAATGGCATTCAATCTTCATTAAACTTTGGAAAAGGTAAAGGTTCCTCTTGACTATTTGTCCAGTCGTGTCCAACTCTAGACGGTGGTATTCATCTCCATTTCCAACCCATAGAGCTAGTGTTTTGTCCACAGACAATCCTCTATGGTCATGTTAATCATTTTTGAAAACCAAACAAGAACATTGAAAGTAAAAATGGCATTCGATCTTCACTAAGCTTTGGAAAAGAGCGGTGGTCAAACTGCACGGTGCAGTTCATGCATTCTTGGCTGCAGAGTACTCATAAAAGGACAGCATGATTTATTATCATGTGCATTTGCCTTGATCTCCATTTTGCGCATTGGTTTGCTTTTGATTTGAAATTGATGCAGCTTTATTTGCAAGTCTAATTTTGCAGGCACAGAGCTTTGAAAGGTTTTCCTGTCTGTAGAAGAGTGTTAGTAGAGGGGACATATCTTTCCCTTAACCTTTTCAGTCCCAGAATCAAGTTTTATCGTGAATTTGCCTTATGGGAGTTGGGTTTTAACCTGCAGTGCCACCACGTGGTGGTGGTCAAACTGCACCCTGCAGTTCATGCATCCTTGACTGCAGAGTACTCAAAAGGACAGCATGATTTATTATAATGTGTGTTTGCCTTGATCTCCATTTTGCAAATTGGTTTGCTTTTGATTTGAAATTGATGCAGCTTTATTTGCAAGTCTAATTTTGCAGGCACAGAGCTTTGAAAGGTTTTCCTGTCTGTAGAAGAGTGTTAGTAGAGGGGACATATCTTTCCCTTAACCTTTTCAGTCCCAGAATCAAGTTTTATCGTGAATTTGCCTTATGGGAGTTGGGTTTTGTTTTGTTTTGTTCATGTCTATTTCTCCTATTTCTCACACTTTTAGTATTCCTTCTTCCTTCTTTACAGCATGTAAGGGAATTTAGCAGTCACACCTTTTTTTTTTTCTTGGAAACCTTGGCATCTGTACTTCTGCAATGGTAAGAAGATTTAAAAATCTCAAACTAAGAATTCACAGCACCTATGCAGTACTAAACTATTATTCCAAAGAATTGAGAAGGAAGTCATAACACTTAAATTAGCATAGACTGTCCCCCATTCTTTCTATTTCTGCTCAAAGTCTAACCTTGCCAATTCTGCTGCGTTATTTGAGAAAGAACAAGGCAAAAATGACACAAGCACTTACTTTTAAAAACTTTATACCCTCGCTCAAAGTGAGGAAGTATTTACATTGGAAACAATAACGAAACATGTGATTTTCTTGGCAAGGTCTGTGTTTTTCTTAAGTTGGAAGTGCTGATTTAAGTGTCCGGCTATGGAGCCAGAGGTGGAGAGTTCGATTTACCACGGTGCCTTCTTGATAAGGGCTGAACTCAGTGATCCATAGGGTCTCTTCCAGCTCTGCTGTTAGTCAAAAACACCAGGCACAGTCAATCAGAATTCTAAAACATTGGCTGGTATTGTATAACAGATACACGTTTTAACCGAAAACCAAAGTGTCTGTTAATTGGTGCAGTCTGTATGCTATTCCCTAAGATTGCTGTCTTTTTTTGGTAGCTCTGGTGGTGTTATTTCTGAGATCTGCAGCTGCTTATAATACTTTGCGAAATTTCTTGATGTTGTTCCCAAAGCCCCAATGATTACAGGGACCACTGAAGTGTGTTGTTGTTGTTAGACTGCTCGTGATAACTTCTCCCATGCAGTTCCATTCATATAAGAAAGGTAGATCCTGAAGGTACATTGGTGATGTGCAGTTTACCTGAATGGTATCATTCTTCCACAGCAACTTAAGACAGTTGGTACTAGATGAGCTGGCAAGGGGAGAACAGACGTGTGGTGTTATTTAAAAAGTGCATAAGATTTTCTTGGGAGGTTTACTTAACACCTCGTATTCTATCTGTAGCTTGCATGACTGAGAGGGGCTTTTCTGAGCTGAGATGATTGTCCAGTTTGTCCCAGTTCATAAAGGTGATAGCATAGGTGTTGATGCTCCTCCACCTCCTCAGCCAATCTAGCCACTCACCAGGCCCAGCTTGCTTGCTTTTCCCACCTCCTTGGCTAATCTCATAACTAAGCATAGATATCTCTGCCCTGCCCTTTTGTTTGAGTGGGAGATCAGCCAAGAGGGCGAGGTGAAGAAGCCTGAGCTATTGCCAAGACTGGAAGATCAGTTGAAGATCACAGAGGTGATGAGTGGCTGATTGAGCCAGAGGAGGAGGAGGGGAGCAGAAGCATCTGCGCTGCCGCCTTCACGAACTGGGATCAACTGGTTCATGCCCATCTTTATTGCACTGTTACAGAGGAGGTGCAGGTTTCATGGAACTGGATGCTGGACATGGATCTTGTAGTCACAAATGGAAAACTGCAGCATACCAAAGAGAATTGACTTTCTTGACTGTGTGAAAATTCAACACTGAATTTTTTTAAGTTTATGTTGAGAATTGTTAAAATAAAAGTGTGTCCCATTGGCTTATCCCTTTGCTCTCTACTTCGCAGCCATTGGTTACCTCATGCATGGTTTTTGTTTGTTGTAATAAAGAACTCTGGGTATAATTTCGGGACAAGGAATAAAGTGTTAGACTCCCTTTTGCAAAAGCGAGATGATACTGAAATATATCCGGTGATTTTTAAAAGATGTATGCAGAGGTGCACATGTACCTGTGTTCATACCTTGGATGAACAAGTGATCCAATGGAAGGGGTATAGGAGTGTTGGAAGAAACAAAGTTAAGTTAATCATTTTATTTTTATTGTATTGAATTGCAAAGTTAAGGTTTAAATAAATTCTGTCACTCTCCATCTCCTTTTGGGGACAGAGAAACGTCTCTACTGTTGTTTTTAATTTGATTATATTGTTTTTATTTTATCTATTATTGTTAGCCACCCAGAGTTGACTTCGGTCTAGACAGGCGGGGTATAAATTTAGTAACTGAATAAGAAAGCATAAACAAAAAACAATAGTTGCTTTTGCACTGTGGATGATGGGCTGGAAATTCATGCACAACAACAAGAGCAAGAAAAAAAAACAGAAAAGAAGGATCCCATCTGGAATCAGTCTCGATCAAGCCTAATGCCCCCCCAAAAAATAAAAAATAACTATATTTTTGGGAACTATGAGACAACTTTAGAGCATAAGCTTGATTAATTTCTCTATGGGATGAAACCAGACCTTGGGACAAAGATATTCTCTTGTTTGCTGGCCCATGCGCTTGATCTCAGGTCACTGCCAATCAGCAGCATTGTTCCATCGGTCTTTGAAAAAGAGATAGTAAACTGTGTATAGCCTCTTTGCCAGATGGTCGCGAGGCTTTGATTCATCAGTGTTTGTCCAGCAGTGCAAACAATGTCTGTATTGAACTGTGCTATTATAATATCCCTTTCAAAAGAAAACAGACCTTGAAATTTCTCCCACCAACTCGTTCCCAGGATCGAGTCCATTATTTGCTCACAAGCGAAGACTGCAAGCGAGGGAAGAGGTAACTGTCCGAATTCCCCCTTCCTGACGCCTCAGTGCCTGTGGATCATTAACGAAGAAAAAACATCAACCGAGAAGCTGGACTTAAATTCAAAATTCCTTTACTCTACTCTGAGCTTTGCTATCCATTATAGCACTGAAGAATCCAGGTGTCAAAGATGGCTATGGATCCCAGGAGCTGGCCTGTTTTAGTGTTCACAGTGCAGTTGGTGTTCATCTTTGCAGCTGCAGGTAAGGAATGTGTTGACAGCTGTTTGAATGCTAGAGTTGGAAAGGTGGAATAATTCAACTGAACATCAGACGTTTAAAAGGGATGGTGAGATGCATGCAATTACAAGCCAGTTATCTTAATGCTTCTCCCAGTTCAGCTGGTAAAAAGCATTATAAAAAGATAAAAATTACTAAGCATAAAGAAAAACGCTCTGGTTCATGTTGTTGAAGAGTTGATCAGCAAAATCAGAGTTGCAGTGTAAAATTAATCAGTGTTGCTTCTGCAAAAGTTAAACTCCATCTATCTCACTAAACTTTCACCTTGTTTGAGAGTGGGTAGCTGTATAACAAAATGAAAGTAAGGGAAGTACTGTAAGCACATTAAAGAGTAATAAATATACAGTAATTCAAGGAGGACAACAAGGATGACCAGGGAATTGGAAACCAAGTGCTGTGAGGAAACGCAGAAAGAGCTGGACATGTTTATCCTTGAGAGAGAGAATAAGACATGAGGGGAGATATGATAGCACTCTTCCAAAAATTTAAAAGTAGTCATACAGAGCATGACCAGTATCTGGAAATCAGACGTTTATCTGTCAGATCTTTGATTTAGATTTCTCACTGAGTAGGGGATTGGATTCAGTTGCCTTATAGCCCCCTTTCAACACGATTGTTCTTTGATTCTATGAAATATGGCTGTAATGTGCAATGATGGCTTTGAAAAAATCCCTCACAAAAAAGCACTAATAATTATGAGAAATAATCAGGAATTTAAAGGCCCCAAAACAATACTTGTCACCCAAAAATGTGCAAGGAGGAAATTTTTAATACTAAGCCTTAGTATATATGCATTAATTAATTAATTTTAGATCCTACCTGTATATATTAAAATCAAACTGAAGCTAAAAGCCCAAGGTAAAAATACTAATTGGGAATCTGGGGAAATTCATCCCAGGTATAATCGTGACCCACATCTGCTTGCACAGTTCCACAGTTGGTGCGGTTTCTTCCACCTAACGTTTGACTCTTCATTTCATTCCATAGCCCACTTGTGTCATCCTAACTTTGTTCAGCACGCAATATACACAGCTTTCTGTTCTGCTTTTTGGCTAATCCCTCCGAAATTGTCTAGTACAGGAGTGGGTGGTTCCCTTTGCTTTGCATGTTGCATGCAGGATGGCAATTGTTTAGCAATTAAAATAAAGTTCTAGTCTCGCTGGTTACTGTGAGAAATTAGGCAGCCAATTTGAAAGACCTTTGATCTGACCTAGTAGAGTTCTTCTTATGTATTTAAGGCGATAACTATGTAAGTCTTAAGAGTCTGATTGAATAGAAAAGGGGAAAGGTCAAAACTGTTTCTAAAGAATGAAACACCTAGAGCAGGCATTCTCAATGGGAGCCATGTGGCCCTCTGGCGGCCCCTGGCACATTTAAAGGAGGCCACAGATTGGAAGCAATTCTTCACACACCCTATCATAAATTTTGTCATGCGACTTATAGAATACTGATTTGGTCTACTTTAATTTTGAGTTTGTGCCGTGGCAAGAAAAAAAAAAGGCTGAGATTGGCTGATTTAGGGCACCAATACCGATATCCACTTATCAAGGAGGAATGGCTATAAATAAGGCCGTATGTAGTGTTTTTAACTCTTCAGTCATTTTAGGTTTTTATCATTATAATTCTTTATGAATTCTGGTCTTTGTTGTAGTGTTCGTGCATCACACATCTGAGTTCTGTCATGTGCAGTAACTTAGAGCCTTCTAGAAAAGTCTTTCCCAACCTTTTTTTTTGAGTCACAACCCCCTTTTATAATAGCCAAGTAACATGTAACCCCACCGCCATCATTACATAAAAAGGCATTTTTAATGGGGTAAAGAAAATACATTAAAATAGATTTTTTTCAGAATAAAATAATAACCTAATATATTAATATTAATGTAATAATACATAATTATGGGGGACTTGTAAATCTGCTTCTGCTAGATAAAAACCAAGAAAGAAAAAAAGTCAGTACATTTGAGTTTAATTTACTTTTTTGACTATGGAAAGTACCCTCCCTTCATGCTTATTCTCCCCAAGAAAGTTCCCTCAATGAATAGCCCCTCTCCCTCAAACCCAAATAAACACCTCCCCCAAGGCCCCCCTCCCTGGTTCTTCTCCCTCACCTTTGTGTCCCTCTTACTTCCCTCTTCCATGACTCAGGCAGGACCTGGAGGTATCTTCCTTCCCAGGTCCTCTCTCCTTTCACTGGACCATGTTCTAGAGATAAAGCAAGAGCATTATTGACAGCAGCCCCACCTGACTCCCTGTCAAATTAAATAATTGGGATGGTTGTTGTAGGTTTTTCAGGCTCTTTGGCCGTGTCCTGGAGGTTTTTCTTCCTAACCTTTTTTCCAGTCTCTGCGGCTGGTATCTTCAGAGGACAGGGGTTAGAACTCTGTCTGTGTTCTGGTGTAGTGTGTGGGACAGTTGAGTATTTGTAGCTGTGGGATCAGCTTTTTGTCCTTTTCAGGAGATTGGGTGATTGTGGTGATCAGGGTGTTTTTTGTTCTTGGTGTATTGTTTTGATAAGGGGGGGAGATGATCAGTCACTGATTGATGGGTGTTGTTAGCTATTCTTTTGGGTGCAGTGATCACCAGTCCTTGTGGCTGGGTAGAGTTCACTGACCTTTTTGCAGGCTGTATTTTTCAGTGTTGGGAGCCAGGCTTTGTTGAGTTTTAGACTTTCTTTGTTTTTGTTGAAGCTATGCTGATTTTTATAGATTTCAATGGCTTCCCTGTGTAGTGTAACATAATGATTGCTGGTGTTGTCCAGTATTTCTGTATTTTGAAATTCATGTCCAGATTGTTTCAGGGCATGTTCAGCTACTGCCAATTTTTCTGGTTGTTTTAGTCTGCAGTGTCTTTCATGTTCTTTGATTCTGGTGTGGAT